TGGTTAAATGATGTTGGATAAATAATTATAAAGAAAAAATGCAATATTTGTTTGTACATAAAATTAGTGAAAGTAGCAACTATCAATTGTGAATAAATTATGAAATTAACTGGTTCTACTCATTATTGTTGTTTGCACAAAGAATGTAGACTTACCCTTTGGTTCTATTGATGAATTTGTAACAGGCTGAAGAGTTGGTCGCTGGGCATCACGACGCCGCGGCCTGGGATGCTGAGACTAATAACATGAGACTGGTCTATGGAGCATTTATACTGTCTTATGAAGAAGTAAATGCGTTGAGATGGTCAGAGCTAAGGAATCCTCTAAGGGGTGGTCTGAGAGGGTGTACCAATAAATCATTCTATTGTATTGCTACTTAACTTGTGTGTATATTTTTGACCCAAATACAAAAGAGAAGCCAAATTCTCTGTACTTCAACATAATAAATGAGATAGCCAGTTTAATTTTACGATATAACAGGAAATAATATATTTTAAAAAGGTCTTTAGAATACAGCACTAAATTAGATCACATTACAGTACCGTAACAGAAAAATATTAAATGTAAAAATACATACTTTCCCAAACAGAGGTGAAACAACGTTTCTTTTCAGAATCAGTAGAAAAGCACGCATATAAATGGGATATGGTGTAATATTAACAGAGACTACATTGAAAAATAAAGCCGAATATTTTCCAAGTTTTCATCATTGTTTCAGGTGTTTTTTGTTGTATGTGTTCTCACAAACTGACTGTGATTTTGATTATATTCCAAATTAACACATAAAATATGTGGCATAAAATGTCCAAAAACATTTTTGTCCTAATTTTTTTTACATTTCAACTTTTTTAATGTTTTTCACTAATGCTTTATTTATTTTAGTCATTTAATTTGTATCAAAAACTTTCATCAGTTAAAATACATTGGGATATGCCTTTCAAATACAGGTGTTAAGTCAGTTTTTGAAGTCTATTTGAGTCTGCTATATTGAATTTGTAGTTGTATGATGACCTTTATTGAAATGCCAAATTAGACAGGAATTTAACAGTGGCTCCATCTGAGTGGTGAATTCTTCCGAAGCTAATGTGTCACAGCTCCTAAGGTTTCTTATTTTCTCTAAGTCCAAATCTTGCACTTCACACCAGATAGCTGGATTATAATGAAGATTACACCATTTAATAATTGTAGCCAGAAAAACTTATATAAAACTAAAAGCGACAACTTAAAAATCATTAATACATTTTTTTATTCATATTTAGTAAAGAGAAAATTCTTTTACATATCACCTTTCTTTGTCTGATAGTGGGGCATATACAACAGGAATGACATTGCTCTTCTGTATAATAAATGCCAACAGGAATTCTATATAATTGAGTGAACTAAAGCTTTTGAAAGTAACATTGAATAGAACATAAAGATCTTCCAGTCAATAACTTACCATCATCTATTGCTAATGTCTGAATTATATCATCCGTACTATTATCAATAATAAAAATTCTCTCATAAATTCTGGGACCTTATTGTTATCACTTTCTGTCTTACTCTTTTTTCACACAAAGTGGAAAAATACCAAACATATTTTACTTACGTTTTGAGGAATGAATTTCAAAATAGGGCACACATTTTTAGGCAATATGAATTTTATAAAATTATCGTACACAACTTATTCAGTAATTGTATTGTCATTGATGTTTCTATAAATTAAAACTAATGTTACCATATCTTACTAAGTCAATAGTACATGATTCTGGTTGTTGACATCTCCTTGTACTAAGAAGTAACAAGGTCATCTACATGATCCTCTATTACGTTGCAAAATAAATTTTTATTTAATCTATAGTTATTGATATATATTTAAAATAAATTTATAGTCTACTGATAAAAGGAGTACATGCAGATAACCATTATTAGTAAATTGATTTTATCAGTGGCTCCACATTTATAGACATTCAGTTGAAGTATCTGATAAAAACATGCCTTATAGTATAGTACTTGTCCTCAGGTGATATCAAGCTCTTTTATCACATGAAATATTTCATAATATAAATTTCAATTAATTACTGTTTTCGATATTATCAGTCATGATATATAATTGAAATCATTTAGAACTTGTAAGGATATATTTCAAAAATATTCCATAATTCATTTATTTATTTTATTACATTTGTTAACATCCTCTTCCAATAAACTTTTTTTAATTGTCAATAAATTTAATTAGTATAATTAATTTGTAGATCGATGGTAACAAAATGTTATTAATTCTTTACAAATAAAATGGAATCATTCTGGAATATTTACAAAATATTCCAGAATGATCTTGTATTTCCCTCCTCACTACTAATTGTCAGTTTCTGATGTTTTTTGCTAAAAACTTTTATTAAATTCATGTGGTATACATAATTGTTATATTTTTTTAACCTTAAACTGACTTTAATATCGATTTGTTTTGTGTCCTATATAACTACATTCTAGATATTCAAGGCTGACTGGATGACCTGCCAAGATTTATTTTTACACCATTCAATGTTATTAATGACATAAGTATTTCAAATTGCTAGTATTACTAAAAATAAAATAGTATCTTTTAAACTAAATGAGGAGTAATGCTTGATTAGAAATAAAACTAAGTTTGGACAAAATTATGCTTAAATATTTTTATAAAATTTAGATATGGTATTAAGAAATCTATTTAACAACTATGAATTGTAGTTCATTTGTTTATGCCCTAAAAATGCCTTGACTTGTTCGCATAATTCTATAAATATCAAATCCACATGAGATGAATTAAGTTCGTCCAATTAAGAGTTTTGTTCAATGTGTTTCAATCACTGTTATGAGATATTTGCGTTCGTTTCATCATTGTTAATTTGATCTTCAGCACATATTGCTTATGAACTCATCAGTCTAGTCAATCAGAAATTATTATCAGCCTTTAGACATTTCTACTAATATTTGTTACAATATAATAATCAATGAAACTTTTGTAGTACCATTTCCGTAAATTTTGCAGCTTTTGCATGGAAATGAGTCCTCTTCCTGTATTCCTTTCGCCATTTACCTTCCCTGAATGGTTAAGGCTTAAGCATGCACACATGAACAGATCAGTCTTTGTGAATATCTAACAGGAGCTGCACCAATAATTACATTGCTTCATAAAAAGTTACTGCTGTGTGTAAGCTTACTTTTGAACATAAATATTTGATGTAATGGAGAAATAGTGGTATTATTGACATCTAATAATTTTTTATCACTACAGCTGTTTCAGCAGAGTGACTTTCTTAAGTGATTAATTTTTGGTATGCCTTTACACTTTATAATCAACTGAATAAGTTTAGGGGTGAATTTTTTGTCTTCTGGTTATTCAGAATTATATCTGTATTTTTTTATTTGTTAATTTCCATATATTGTAGTAAAGCTTAAGGTATTTATTTTGAATGTGAAGAATTTGAAATTCGTCATATAACATTTATTATGGTCTAGAAGATGAAGTGCGTCTGTAGAATCTGTTTTTCCATTATTGAAAGCCCTTTTATGTTCTGCTATATGTTTGTTAAAAAAAGTTCAGTCAGTTTGACTGATTTAAGTTTTTGGGCAGTCGCCAAACATGGGTCAAACTGGTAGAACTTTAATAAATGTATAGCAGAACATAAAAGGACTGCCAATAATTGAAAAATATATTCTATGTACGCACTTCACTGTTCCTTCACATTTCCTTCTCCCTTGAGCTCGTTTTCCGTTATTTTACTTCCGGTATTCTATAGTGTTGATAATACCTAGATCAGGTTTTATACGAGGTATTAGGCGAAAATTTCTTGCAACTAAACAGTTTCGGAAACATATTTCTACCATCCAAACTTACACAATAAAGTGAATGAGGCTCTAATTTAAAACATTGACGAATTTATCCATTTGCAATCGCAGATTTGTGGCTAGGTCTGTTATCATGTTACAACAAATTGGCAAAATACTCGCCATTTATTGTTTTCTGTTTTTTTTTAGTTATTTACCAAGAAAATTTGCAACCCAAAACTATATTGCCGCAATCTTTTCTGCTGGCTAAACGATTTTGCCTTTAGTGGCTGAGATTCTAGGAGTGTCCATTGTTTAAACAGGTGTTTTGTTTCGGGAGTAGAATGGTGGCCTAAGTTTCATCGATCGTTATAAAACGGCACCAAGTCCTTCAAATGATGTCTAAATAGTTTAAAAGATTTCTAGATCCACTTTTAAATGATTCAGTTTTTATTCCGACTCGAGCAACTGTCTGTTTACTCTAGTATTTTGAGCCACCTATGTCTACTTTGGCCCTTTTGTTGACGGTCGTACAATACTATCTATATCGTGTTTTTTTCAATCATAACAGGGATATTCATAAGTGAGAAATCAGAAATATGAGCATTGGAAGGCAAAATAGCAGATGAACGTGGGAAACGGCGAAGAAAAATAACGTGGCTTAATAGTATTGACATTTAATTTGTCAAGTGAGTATTCGTCAACCATGAATACAATCAGGTACTGCAAGAAGGAAGAATACACCTAAAATTTCGGGGATAATTATTTGTGCTAGTCAGAGAATGCTTAAATTGCGGTAAAAATAAGGACTAGATTTCAATAGTGCTTTGATTTAGCTTGGTTTTCAGCCCTTCTAATGAAGGTACTTCTCTGATTCCAAAGCAGTCCATTTTTTATAAATGCAAACCATACTGTGACATACTGTAAAAACACACTGATTGACATATCGCACTCTTATATCATAATTAACGTGTTACCAGATCCATGGTAAACATATTCCGAATTCATAATATCACATCTGTTTTACGCCACATCACTGGAAAATAAAATGCAAGTACAACTTCTTATGTATAGATTTACAATTTTCAATACTATGTTTCCCCCATTTAGTCATACTTTGTGAACTGGGAAATAACTTTTTCGCATTCCTGGAATTGCTTAAAAAAAATTATAATGCATTTGTAATTTAAATGAAACATTTTTTTGTATAGGTATGGTAGACTGCTTCGTACGTATCCCAAAGGAACAGGGTGTTCTTGCATACTGGCGTGGTAACACCGCTAACGTCATCCGTTATTTCCCAACCCAAGCCCTCAACTTCGCCTTCAAAGACAAATACAAGCAGATCTTCTTGAGCGGAGTAGACAAAAAGACACAATTCTGGCGTTACTTCTTAGGTAACTTGGCCTCTGGTGGTGCCGCCGGAGCTACCTCCCTCTGCTTTGTATACCCACTTGATTTCGCCAGAACCAGGTAAGTTTTATCTTTGATTTAATGTACAAATTGATTTAATTAACTCTTACTACTATTTCTCCATAGATTTTCGTCTTGATGTTGATCTAAAGAATGTAAATGTTATAAACTTGAGCAACAGCTTACTTTATATAATCGAATCCAACCACTAAAATATATCTTATTACAAAATAGCAAACTTTGCGCGGTCTAAAATGAAGTCTAAATAATAACTTTTTCATGCTTTCATATTTCCCATACGAGATGTGACTATTAAATAACTAGAAGATAATTCTCTTTGTCATCTCTATTTAATCCATATAGCTGTATAATTTTATGCAACAATTTGCAAAAATTGCGTATTGTTTTACTTAAAAACGTAACAAGTGCGTGCAAATTCCTCATAGTCTGTCAATAAGTTGCTAACATGTACACAACTAATCAAGGTTGGACCAACCGTAAAGTCTGCAGTAAAAAGACACAATTTGAGTCCGTTTTAGCTTAAAACATCCTGAAGCAACTTACAAATGACTTCCAGCACTGTTTCAAACAATGGAAAATTCGCTGGAGTGTTTTAAGGATAAGGGAGAAGTGTAAATACCTCCTCTTACATGTCCTTTTTTATTCTTGCTTTTAAGGAGTTACATTGAATTGTTCAAAATATCTCCATTGATCTGTACCGTTTTCACTAGAAATACACTAATTTACTTTCATCTGAATATGAGTATATGCTTGCTTATTATTAATTTGTACTCTTTAATTCTCCTGTCTATTTCTAATCGATATTGATCAGGGCGCATTAAATTATTGAGGCATTTAAAATATCTAATAGTTAGGTTGTACAGTGAATTTAACATTAAGGTTTAATATTCTATTTTATAGGTTGGCCGCTGACGTCGGTAAAGGTGCCGGTGAACGTGAATTCTCTGGTTTGGGTAACTGCTTAGTCAAAATCTTCAAAGCTGACGGTTTGGGAGGATTATATCGTGGATTTGGTGTATCAGTACAAGGTATCATTATCTACCGTGCCGCTTTCTTCGGTTTCTACGATACTGCCAAGGGTATTTTGCCCGATCCTAAGAACACTCCTCTTGTAGTTTCATGGGCTATTGCACAGGTAAGCAATAACAATGTATTAAATTATTAAAATACTACTTCTATACAAGTAACATATACAAGTATACAACAATCAACACCATTACATTTTTGATTGAAATATTAATAATATGTTTAATTACTTTACCGTGGATGTACGGGTAACCAAACAAGAAAACCTATAAGAATATCATATACTACTTAATATAAATTATAACTGCCAATGAAAATAATTTTTTTATTCTTTGCACAATATTTCTGTTAAATTATAAGTATGATGTTTTATAACCCAAAAATTTCAACTGCACTTCATTAACTATGAAAACCCAGTCTCTAACTGCGCGAACTTATAAATATCTTCTCTTTTTTAAAGTTCAATTTTATAAAGTTAATAATGTCTTTTTTAGAATCTCCTATATGGCCAGTAATATTTTGGATTTTATTACTTGTAAGAGATCGTTTATCAGCCTAAAATTAGAGAAAAAACTTTAATTAGTATATCAACCTTACTTTGAAGTTCAATTCTTTGATGCTCTTAGTTAATATGAAATAAAAATTTAAACGAAATTTATAACCGAAAAAAATTTACATATCGCGCCATTCAGTACCGTATACACAAATTGAAGACTTGCTCTCTCATCAAAGACAAAATAGAATGGTTCAGCATCTGTATAAGTTGTTGCATATGTCACAAATTGACATGAATACCAACATTACCATGAATACCAACCTTGCGGTATTCACGGTAATCAATCATGTCCCCGTAAGTAACTCGACGAAACTTAGTAACACCACAGCATTGCTCGAAAAAATAAACACAACTGATCCTGAACCATTCGCTCCGTGGGCGGAGGCAGGTTTCAGTTAGGTTGTGAACAGGTTGTTAACCTGTAACAGATGAGCCTAGTTTAACCGTTGTTTTAAAACAGTTACGGCGTGGGCGCTGGGCCTTAGGCACTGCAGAAATGCAGAAGAGAAGCCAAGATGGAGATCATCCAAAAGACGAAAGTGGACTAGCAGATTACGCTCAAAATGTCATGGCAGTCAGAACTTACAGCTTCCACAATGTGACTACCCATTGTGTAATACATATATTACAAGTGGCCAATATTTTTCACATTTTTCATAATATTTATTAAGTAAAGTCCTTCAAACTAAGTACTTACGAGAGTAGGTGCAAAATTTCGGGCCAATGCTTTTTAAATGCATTAATTTTTTTCGAATCCTGAGAAAACTAATAAATATTTTTGAAAAATTTAAACGCAGAATAAAAAATTACATTATAACCGACGGCCGAAAGTCCCTTAGAATGAATAAAAAATAATTTTGAATGAAATATTTGCAATTAAACATCACACTTAATTTTCTCTTTCTTTTCACCCCTGTAACTTAATAAAATAAACATTATAGAAGTTTTAAGGGACTTTCGGCCCTCGGTAATAACGTAATCTTTCATTCTGCGTTGAAATTTGTCAAAAATACTTATTAGTTTTCACAGGATTCGAAAAAAAAAAATGCAATGCATTTAAAAAACATTGGCCCGAAAATTTAATAAAAATCTTCATTGTCATGTTATTTATATTATAAATTATTGTATTAATATTTTCTTCTCATTTCAGACTGTAACCACTGTTGCTGGTATCATCTCATATCCCTTCGACACAGTCCGTAGGCGTATGATGATGCAGTCTGGACGTAAGAAGACCGAAATTATCTACAGAAGCACTGCTCACTGCTGGGCCACAATCGCCAAGACCGAAGGTACCGGTGCCTTCTTCAAGGGCGCTTTCTCCAACGTCCTCCGTGGTACTGGTGGAGCTATTGTATTGGTCATGTACGACGAAATCAAAAACTTGATCGTGTAATTTGTTTTTCATTGCTACAAGGATCGCGCATCATTATCAACACTCCAATCGATTTTTCCTAGGAAATATTTAGCCAAATTCGATGATATATTCTTCTAGCCGTGCTTGTTTCAAACCATTCCGGGTGGAGGCGGACCATTTTAGAGACCTTTAGTGGAGCTCACTGAAATGGTTTTGCTGTCACCCCACCCCTTGCTGAGCACGACTTGAAGAAGAATGTATATAGTTGTACATTTATTTATTTTTTTGATTGCCGTAAGTAAGTTCAACATCCTCGCCCGGGCGAAGTATAGACTATATTTTTGTCATTCAGAGACTGCGAATATTGCTGTTTCTTTGTCGAGTTCATGTAGAGTTAATCATTTTGAGTTGTGCGGATCGCAAATAATGTACCGTTGTTATTTTTGGTTAAATATAACTAAAATATTCTTTAAACATTGTATCATCATTTCATTGATGGTTAATAAAAAACAAAAAAACCGATTTGTTTGTTTTTATTTTATACAAAACCTAGAAACCATCTATAGTTAAAATATTGTACATTGGCTGCCATAATCTGGTTGTCTGGCACCGACATTATTCAACGTGACTCTCGAATATGTGATAATACAGTTGGATATAGGAAGAGCCCAATCTCCTTACAAATAAATCGATATAGGTTGCCGCCTGTGCCTATGACATCAGCATTATATCTCGCAGAACGGAAGAAGCGGTAGAAATATATTCACAATTAAAAGAGGGGCAAAAGGGACAGGACTAGAAATAAATATTTAAAAGACAAACAAGCTAACATAGGCAAGAGCTAGGGGAAACAGATGCGCAGTTCAATTAGAGGACGATATTAAAATTGAATAGGAATTTGAGGATGATACTTAGAAAATTTCACATACCTATGAGTTGCAATAAGTCCGGATAGAACAGAAGAACCAGAAATTCAAAGAAGAATAGTAAAGGGGAACAAAGTTTACTTTTCACTCGCCCATGTGTTCCGCTTCAAAAACACCCTGGAGATCGAAAATGAGGGTCTACAAAACTATTATGAGACCAATAGTATGTAGGAATGTGAGACATCAGTGATAATATACTATCGTATGGCATTTTTGCCGTGGAGATCCTTTCGGATTGTTCCGGCACCAATTCAATTATATTCAATTCTCTCAGGTCACTAATTGATAGGATGTCGTTATAGTATTCACTTAGCTTCTTAGTATCAAGTAGTGGCCAATTTTCTCCTAGTGCTCTTGCCTTGCTTAGGCCCTTATAGAAGTCATGGTATACCTGTTTAGTTAAAATTATGGGTTTTTTCCATCGGACACAAAGACAAAAGAAGGAATCTAATCGTTATGAAAAGGAGACCAAGAAAGTGGCATCCGATGGCGGACATATCCGGAAATAATCATACAGTAGTTTAGGGGGTCTAATTTATCTATTTTATATTACATAATATTAACCCTTTCGGTCATCGTGTCCACACCGATGGACATCTATTTTCAAAGCATTTTCTTAAAACATCGATGGTTATTATCGCCCAAATCATTTTGTCCATGTGTGGGTACATGCATAAGAAAAGCATTGAATACATTGATAGCCATCTGTTAGTCGATTTGTGAAGCTATATAAAACGCAAAACAGGTTGCATTTAGCACGCTGTCGTGGTGGTGAAAACACCTGTTTGTTATTGGAACGATTTCTATTGAATAAACTTGTTTTTTCGTACAAATACCTGCTGATTTGGGTAAGTAAAAAGTATTAGTATAGTGTGTTTATATTATGTATCAAACTGTTGACTGAAAATATCTTAGTGGTGTATATTTATATATCCATGTAGATGGACAAAATGACTTAGGTATACTTATGCATATAAAAATTAGCAAGGTCGTGTTGTTTTAGATATCCATAAAATGGAAAGTTTACCGTCAACTAGTAAAGAAAAGAGATGGCCACGACCCTTGACTGAGGATGAACTTCTGAATTTACTCATGAAAGACGATGACTCAGAAATATTACGTTTGTCAGATGCTGATGACGCCAACAGTATTGCGGATCTAAATGACGTTTCCTCAGAATTTGGCGATGATATCCAAGATATTGAGGAAACTATTTTTGACGGATTGATCCAAGAACAGAAGTCAACAGAAAGAGGTGAGTTAGAAAATCTAGAATATCCCAATGAAGTGACTACAGAACAACCAATGTCAACAAAAACGTCACAACAATGTCAACAACCAGAGTACATGAAAACCAAAGAAAATTCCAACCAAACCACTGAAAAACAAACAACTGCAAAGGAGAGACTGCTAGAGTTTTGTAAAGAGTTCAAACTCACAAATAAGAAAGATGTTTGTTGGAAAAAAATATTACCTATCTTACCAGGCCAGTACAGTGGTTTGTTCCAGAAGAAGTACAAGTTGATGAATTACCTGCTCCTATTGAATATTTTATGAAATACATACCTGATGCTCTGTTTGAGAAGATTTCAGAAATGACTAACTTATATGCCGTACAAAAAATATTACTCGGTTTTCTCCATCAGATAAAGAAGAAATAAAGCGATTTGTAGGCATTCACATTATTATGGGAAATCTAAAATTCCCAAGAGCAAGACTGTATTGGTCCCAGCTTACAGGTATTTCAATTGTAAAAGATAATATGACATTCAATCGCTTCTCTAAGTTGCGCAATACCATTCACTTAGTAGATGTAACAGCAAGAGGTGACGAAACAGATCGCATGTGGAAAGTCCGAGAAATATATAATTCCATTAGAAATCGTTGTAGGGAACTTCAAACCGAAACAAATTTGTGCATTGACGAGCAAATTTTCCCATTCAAAGGACATATCAATTTCAAGCAGTACCTCCTAAATAAACCGAAAAAATGGGGGATCAAATTATGGATATTGGCTGGACAATCTGGTACCATTTACGATTTCATCATATATCAAGGTGCTGAAACGGAAATAAAAAAAAATTATGCACAGTTTGGACAAGGAGCTGGAACCAAAGAATATAGACGCTTCATATTCTTTGCTGGAACTGTGATGCAGCTAGTTTGATTGAATTGAAGAATTGAAGAAACTCATCACGGTTTGTACTTTGATAATTTCTTTAGTTCTTATCACCTCTTTCAATGGTTGAACAATAAATCTATTATGGCTGTCGGAACAATTAGAATAAACCGATTTTTTGGACCAGAACTAACATCTGATAAAGATCTAAAAAAAATGGTAGAGGTAGTTTTGATGTAGCGGTTAGTGAAGATGGAATTGTGATTACAAAATGGTTCGACAATAAACCAATTTTAGTGGCTTCAAATTTTGTTGCAGCGGGAAAAATGGATTTGTGCCAGAGATGGGATAAGACGTCGAAAGAGTATATAAATGTATCTAGACAGGAAGCCATATCGCTTTACAATTCCAACATGGGTGGTGTTGATAAGTTAGATTTTTTATTGAGCGTTTACAGATCCTACAGACGATCCAGAAAATGAACTGTACGTATGATAACACATGCTATAGATATGGCGATAGTAAATTCCTGGTTAGAATATAGAAAACAAGCTGAACTGCTAGGCGTACAACACAATAAAATCCTGGATTTGTGGGACTTTAGAATGAGTATTGGGCAACACCTCATTTTACATAAGGTTCCACCAAAGAGAGGCAGACCATCTGGTCAAGAAAATACTGGTACACCAAATAATAAAAAAACCAAAACTGAAGCAAGGCCATATATTGAATTACGGTTCGACAGCTATGGACATTTTCCGAAAATAGATGAAAAAAAAGATAGTACACGTTGCAAAATGGAGAACTGTAAGGGAAAATCACATACATTTTGCGTGAAATGTAATGTTCACTTATGTTTTGTAAGCGGTCGTAACTGTTTTTTTTTAATTTCATGTAAAATGATTAATTCGTTATTTACAAAGAATATTGTTTATTTCGTCATTCTAATGATATTCAAATAAATTTCTAAAATCTTCAGGTTTATTTTATTTTGCTTAAAGTCATAATGTCCATCAACATGGACATGTCATATGCCAAGTGACATATGACATATAAAAAAAAATGTTAAAATTATCAACAAAAATAGTTTTTTATATACCAAATATGAGAATTTTCCCATAGCTCAAAAAAAGTTGTGACTGAAAGGGTTAATACATAATGTACTTAAAATACTTTTTTTAACACTGGAACACAATAAAGTTTTAATTAAATAATATCGATAATAGTCTAAAATGTAAAACAATTGTTAAAAAACTTCAATAGAAAATACAAATATTCTTTCATGTGACAGTTGAGACAAACAATCCTCATCATCATCTTGGTGCTACAGCCCTTAGAGGGCCTCGACCTTCTCAAGCTTTCTACGCCATTCTGTTTTGTCCCTTGCTTGCATTTTCCAGTTGCCGACTCCCATCTTCTCGGCATCTTGTGTTACCCCGTCCATCCACCTCAGCTTTGATCTACCCCGTCTTCTCATTCCCACGGGTTGCGATGTTATAATCTTTTAATCATGTTCGATTCAGGGGCCCGGTCTACATGTCCTGCTCACTGCAGGCGGTTTCGCTTAATTGTAGTGGTAATATCTTTACCACCAAACATGCTTGTAGATATTCTGCAGTTTAACGTTATATCTACGCCTCCATATTTCGTTCTCACAGACCGCTCCGAATATCTTGCATAGCACCTTTCTTTCAAAAATCGATAGAGCGGATTCATCTATTTTAGTCAGCGGCCATGCCTATGATCTATATGTGAGGACGGGGACTATCGGTGCTGTATACAGCCTTAGACGAGTTTTTGAGACACACGTTTGTTAGCTAAGTACTTTGATAGACCATGATTCGCCTTTTTATTTCCTCAGATGTGTCATTATTGGGGTTAACCGATGTCCCTAGATATGAACTCTTTCGACTGCTTCGAAGTTTTGGTCATTGATGATTTTAATCTATGTCAACATTTCCAGCTCTTGTGTTTATGTTAGTCGCCATGAATTTGGTCTTATATTTATATGTAACCCCATTCGTTCTGCTGCTACTATTAGCTTGGTTAGGATTTCCACAGTTCTCGCCCTGCTTCTTGCTAATGTCCACGTCGTCTGCATATGCTAGAATTTGGACTGATCTATTAAATATTGTTCCCCTGCTATCTAAATTAGCGTCTCAACTTTATCTAAGGCGACATTAAAAAACTGATACGCAGCGTATCTCCCTGCCTTAACCTCCTATGTATTTCAAATGGGGTTGATGAGTCGTTTTGAATTTTTACTGCTGATGTCATCATCGCCATTGCCACTTTTCTCAAACATATACATACAATAACATTAGCAATAACATAACCCAACTAAATTTAATTTCTTAAACAAGGAAATGACTCTCTTTACTTGTTTAATGTGGCCTCTCAAGATGGCACTTCCTGTCTAACAATATTTTTGCTTCCACTACCTTTACATTTCTTCTTGTGTCTTTTTGCTCGATTTTTTCACAAC